ACTGGGACCGGAATACGGTTCGTTTCAGTGCTTTCCAGTATTTCTAATAGTGGTCTAACATTGATCGATTCATGATCCCAATGATACTCAACAATTATGAAATTACTCCAGTGTAATCGACTTAGCATTGAACATTTTAGAAATGACTTTCATTTTTGAAATAATTAATCCTTCTACTTTTTCTAGGTGTCTTTGTTTTTCACCAAAGATTAATGACGTCCTGAATGAAAAAAGTTGATTGATGAATCTAACGAAATCGGAAATTATCTGAAGTTCTCGAGCGTTTTTCATAAAAGTTATCCAAAGCTTTCAAAACAGAGAGTGAACGCTAATGTCTGGATGACTGGATCGTCACCAACGGTGTTAATGTATATCTTTGATCATTTGGGGATTTAGCGCTACCTCATTCCTTTGTCTTCCGTAGTTTACTGCTCTAAACCCAACAGGTTGAACTCCACGACTCACATCTGCTCAGTGTGTAAAGACACTTGATCTCCATAACTCGAACTGAAGAAACCATACATGGGCTCACTAGCGACTCGCTTCGTGAAGAAATTCTCAGAATTCTAGTGGGGAAGACGTGACAGTGGACTTCAACCCTGTTGGTGTAGGTTTTTATTGCCGAAGACAATGGGTGAGGTTGCTCAAGATCTTTAGATTGATCACAGTCCAGACAGTAACGCCATTGGGTGCCGGCCCACCATGTTCAAAGGTTAAGTGTTCGCTCTCAAGACCGAAGGTCCTGTACACCACTGATGAGTCCCATACCAGCAAGAGTTCTGCCAATAAATTGATTGGTGATTTCAATTTGTAAAAACACTGAGGTCCATAAATGTAATTGAAAAAAAGACTGAATAATCAGAAAACCACTCATCATTAAAACCATGAAATAAAATCATCTCAAACTATATGTATTCAGAAATAAGATAAAAAAAAATATATTACCAGCAGTGAATATAATTGAAGAATGTACGTCGACCAACTGATTCCCGGTCGGTTCAATCCCCAGGACAGATGCAGTTGCTTTACTAGCATCACCTTGTGCACCTTCATCATAACGTTTGAATGGTGAATATTTAAATTTCTTTTGGTAGACTAAATTTAATAATACTCTGTATTCACCTTCTCTTGATGTTGGAACATAGCGGGCATGAATAAGTTTAGCTGTGTATCATTATTACTGAGTATCATCTACACTCAATAGCAGAAAAAAAGAAAGCCTTTTAGATGAAATCATGTTAGGGATTTATTAAAGTTGAACACTGTCTACGCAATAGTGACTTTTTTCAAAACTTTATAACTAAACACAGTTAGGTGAGTCAGTTACACCTCAGACTTTGTACATACGGTAAATCATGTTCACAGTTGTCGTACCACATTATATCACAGAGATGTAATTGTCTACATTCAAATCCAATAGTAGTAGCGATAGTAAGGTATTAGCAGCAATCGGAGGGAATTATGGGTTCGAGGATATTATTCAAGAAATGGAATCTAGTGAAATAAACGTAAAAAGATAAGGTGATGAGAAATTCAGAAGGTTAGAATTTGAAGGACCAGAAAACAGTTGCTGCATATGCGCCATTTGCAAACGGTTTGAGCCATGTCATTCACGGTCTCTAAACCATCGATTTGCCATCATCTCGCGAACACCAATCCAGGTAGTCTGCACTTAACTAACATGACTCAATCCAGTTGTCAGCGACTTCATGAATTTTTGTCATGTTTTTGGTTTGGCCGCCCCTACTTTTCTTCCAACTTATTCACTGTTTGGTAAAACAAAGCACAACGAGGCAGTCCGGTGGTTAGGAATACACATGTCCTAGCCACCTCGACTGAGCCGTTTCAATACTTCATCTATCGATCTGCCATCCTTACCTAATACTCGTTTCCTAACCTTAGGATTGCTTACTCGGTTGTCCCACGATATACAGGCAATTCCTCGAAGGCGTAACTAAACATGTGAATACGAAAACAAATGAAGTGGAATATGGTACGATTACGGTAAACTTGTATCGTTAAAATTTACTGATCATTGAGTAGTGGTTTAAATCCCGTATATTAGGTCATTCTTAGTGCTGACCGAAGTCTACGAAATGAGTTGTAATATAGTTACTAGATATACTGACTCAATATCGTGTTGAGATATAAGGTGGTGTTTGAGGTAGTTGACAGGAAACTCTCTACCAGAGTTTTATTCATGTAGCCCTCTTCAGTAAGGTTTATCTGTCGTGCTGAAGGGAGGTGATCTTATCTGATGGATTTAAATTAAACTAATTGACTGTAGATCCTATAGTCCTACAAAAATGTAAATAGCAACTGAATAGCTAAATTGGGTAATGTTTGTATCGATCAAACAGGGAGCACGTTTTGATAGTAAAATGTGAAAAAAATGTTTTCCTGATGTTACCTATAACAATGTCTACTAGTTTACTATGTGTTACTCTATAACAAACATTGTAATAGCAAAATTGTATAAATTTTTAATACTTGGAGGTCTTCCAATCACATAAGTTTTCACGATTAACGAGCAATTCCTCGAAGGCGTAACTAAAGCATGTTAATACTGAAAACAAATGAAGTGGATATGGTAAGCGATTTACGGGTACACTTTGTATCGTTAACATTTACTGATCATTGAGTAGTCGGTTTAAATCCCGTATATTAGGTCCTTTCTTAGTGCTGACCGAAGTCCTACGAAATAGTTAGTTGTAATTAGTTCTTAGTATATCCTGTACTCAATATCGTGTTGTGAGATATAAGGTGGTGTTTTGAGGTAGTTGCAGGACACTCTTCTACCAGGATTTTTATTTCATGTAGCCCTCTTCATATGTTTATTTCTGTCGTGCTGAGCGAGGTGATCTTATCTGTAGGGATTTTAATTAAAACTATTTGACTGTAGATCCGATAGTCCTACAAATGTAAATAGCAAA